TGACTCCAAAAGTGGGAGGGGCGTTGGGAAAGAACACATGGAGGCAGGAGGCGCAGCAAAGGGTTAAGACCAGAAACTCTGTGACCTAGACTGACTCCGTGGCTCTGTGTGCACCAAACCGCTCTCCCCTCCCTAAGCACATACGTTAGCTCCACTTTCCAGCCTGCCTGCTAGAGCCTTGATACTAAGTGCAGCCACATGATTAGGGTCATTAACTGAGTGTGAGAGGAAAGAATGGAATCCAGGTCAGATAAACCCCTCAGGAACAAAAATGGGAGGAGCCATACCAGGAGGGTAAGGGGAAGATGGGGGGAGGTGGAGAGGAAGGGGGAACCCATCTCAATGATTGACACATAACCCCCCACCCCAATCCCCCGGGGAATGAACAAAAGAAATGTGGGTGAAGGGAGATGGTATAAAATAGAAAACAATGATAATCTATAATTTATCAAGGGGTTACGAGGGTGGGAGGGAAACAAGAGGAGCTGATACCAAGGGCTCAAATAGAAAATAAATGTTTAGAAAATGATGATGGCAACATATGTACAAATATGCTTGATACAATTGATGTATGAAATATATAAAAGCCCCCAATAAAATGATTTAAAAAACAAACAAAAAGAACAGTTGAGCCTTCGTATGCTTTTGTAAAATGTGCACGTGACGTGCCCTCCAGAAGGAGACCAATCCGCTTTTGCGTCGTGTTTGTTGCCGCAGCACCGCCTCACGTATCTTTCCCAATTCCTGTGGGTGAAGGGAGTGCAGGGCTTGAACACTGACCCTCCCCGTTGGCAGCTGTGTGACTTTGACTAACGTGCTTACGTTTTCCGTGTCTTGGTTTCCTCATACGTTAAACAAACACAATAATAATGTCTGTATGGTTGTCTAAAGATAAAATGAGGTAATAAGTCTGGAGCTCTTAGAACAATGTTAAATACGCCAGGACTATTAGCTCACGGAGAGGAGCAGACCAAGAACTGAGGAGAAGTTCCCAGCAAGAGCGAGCACTCGACGGCCCACAGATCAAGTTGGCACTACCACAACCAAACTCGGAGCCGCAAGTCACTTCCAGCTCCTGGAAATGCTGCAGGACAGGCTAGAACTGCCTCTGTGAGTTGAAGCCTCATCTTTTTCTCACAGAACGGCTGGTGGTTCCGAGTTGCTGCCCTTGCGGATAGCAGCCCAGTGTGTGATCACTACGACGCTATGGCTCCTGCAGGCTACACAGCTGCCTATTTTTTGTATAGGCTTCCAGTTGAAAATAAATTTACACTTGAAAATCTGGGGGAAGATCATACCTAAATGATATGAAATTTACATTGCAGGCTCCATAAATACGATTTTACCAGGGCACCCGTTGAAGCAGTTGCTGCTTCTATCAAGCCAGCTGCTTCAGGATGATGAGGCATTCTGTAAATCCACGAATGGTAGTTTGTATTAAAGTAGAACTGTGCTCTGTGACGTTTTTAAAGATGAGACCTTATGGAATCAAATCATCAAATTTTTCTTCCATGGGTCTTCTGGGTGGATTTGAACTGCCAACCTTACAGTTAACAACCAAGCATATTACGCATGTGGGCTACCAACCAAAGTAAATCAAACCAAACCAAACAACAACAAAAAACCAAACTCACTGCCATCGAGCTAATTCCAAAGTACAGAGTAGGACGACGCATGTGGGTTTACGAGCGTTGGGAACCAGGTCCTTCTCCCATGGAGTAGCTAGTGGTGGCAGTCCAATGCACGAGCCAGGTCACCACCAGCGCTCCTTGGGCTACCAGAGACTCCTTACTAGGAGGCATGTTCACTTGTTCATATGTGTACATTTTTTATGGCTACTTTTGTTCCATCATGACAGAGTTAACCAGCGGCAATAAACACATAGTCAGTAAAGGCTAGTATCTTTATTAGCTGGCCCGTTACAGAACAAATTTGGTGGCCTCTGATTTGCAGTGCTAAATGCAGCAAAAAATTTAGGGGAAAAAATAAAAAAGAACCCCCAAATGTTAACTAGCATTGGCCATGGATTAGTAATGACCTTGGTAATGATTTTATTGGAATGATAAAAGTAGAAGGGGACGTTGGGAAGTCATTTAATTTCTAGTCGTCGTAGCTTTGTCAGCCTGCAAATCGGAGATCAATGGAGCTACTTCCCAGAGTTTTTGTAAGGCTTCATGGTGATGCATGTAAACCATGAAACCCCGTGTCTGACTTACAGTAGATGGTTAATAAGTGGAAGCTGTGGCTTCATTGAATTTGCTGCTGCGCTGGCATTCCTTTAGAGGCAAGCCTTATTCATTTCTAAGATTTTATTTGTCTTGTATGCTTTGATGTTTTACCTTTTATACTATGTCTTTGTTCATATGTTATTTCTTTATTGAGGCCTATCCTGACTGTACTATTTATATTTAATCTGTTCTCCACTCAGCCATTTCTAAGTCTTTTATCTTTTTTATCCCAGTAGAGCTTTTCACATCTGACATTCTGAGGATTTGCTAATGTAGTGTGTTGATTGTTTATGATATGCTTCCACCAAGGAGCCCTGGCGATGTCATGAGTTACGGGTTGGGCTGCAGCTAACCAAAAGTTCACTAGTTCAAACGAGCAGCTGCTCTATAGGGAAAAAGAGGAAGCTTTCTGCTCCCATAAAGAGTTCTAGAAATCCAGAGGAGCAGTTCTACTCTGTGCTGTAGGGACGCTATGAATCAGAATCCACTTGCTGGCAGTGAGCGTTTGGATATGTCTCCACCACCAGAATGCAAAGTGCCAAGAGCAACCAGCGTGGCCATTTTTACACAAGTATATTTTTCAAGTGTCTAATGGTTACTGGCACATGGGAGGAGCTCATAATATCTTTTGAATGATTACATGAAATAGAATCTGTGAGAATTTTATCCTGCTCAGTACTGGGTATACTCTATTAATTTAGGGCCCATATTTTATCACCTCTGTAAAATCTCAACCATTATTTGTTCCACATATCCTCTATGGCATATGCTCCACTTTCTCCTTCAAAAATTCCCTTTACAATATGTAAAAGGCCAAAACATTCTATCCTCAACATTACCTAAATTCTCTCTCATTTTTGACATCTACTCAGCTCTTATTTTATTTCAGGGCAACTTTCTACTTTATCAGCATGTCTCTTTAAGCTGTGTCTAGTCTACTAGTTAACCTGTTAATTGAATATTTATTTCAACAACAATTTTTCTTTTGCACCTAAAATTTCCATTTCTTTCCTTTTCCTTTCTTCCTCTTAATTTTCCATCTTTTCTGTCCTTGTTTCGTGGTTTTAAAACTTCTTTTTCTCTCTTTGAATATTTAAACATTCCTATTTTTAGGTATATTTTAGGTTTTCTGGTTATCGTTGAGTTGGGGGATGCTCAGTTTTCCATTTGTGTAGTCAACCTGCTCTGTATTACAGTGAATTTTTGTGCTCAGTTTGTAAGTTTGAATTATGAGATCACCTTGAATAGTGATTGTTTAGCATGTGCTCTTGTCACAGATTTTACAGTTAGCAACTGAAAATACACCAAAATATATCACCAAGTGGTTGGCCTATGGAGACTAGGAGGGGCAGTAGTCTAAAGTGGGAGTCAGGGAATGCACTGGAAACCCATATCCTCACACTGACCATATTTGCTTAACCTTGGAAATGTTAAGCCTTAGTTCCCTTATCTATAAACCATATAGATAACTAAAAAGGTGGTGGTTCAAACCCACCCAGCATCTCTGCAGAAAAAGGCCTATGACCTGCTTTCATGAAGACTGCAGCCAGGAAAACCCAGGGACACTTCTACTTTGTCACATGAGTCTCCGTGAGTCGAAAGAAACTTGATGACACACAAATAACAATCATCCGGAGAAAGGAATTTTTCCTTTCTATTCTGAGATGTGAAGAGTTAGTGAGAACATGAGCATACGGCATCCAGCCCAATGTTTAGTATGCATTAAGTGCTTGATAAATAATAAAAATTATTATAAAGATTGTATTCCTAGGAGCCCCTGTAGTATAGTGGGTAACATGTTGGGCTACTAACTATAAGGTCAGCAGTTAGAAACCGCCAACCACTCTCTGGAGAAAGACGGGCTTTGTGCCCCCACAAAGATGTAGACTCAGGAACTCCCAGGGACAGTTCTACTCTCTCTTACAGGGTTGCTAGGAGTCAGAATTAACTTGATGGCAGTGAGTTATTTCAATTTTAAAAAATTTTATCTTTTATCACTGTCTTCTTCATATGTGATGTGAAGGAAATAACTTCATGCTTAAGAAATTAGCTTTGGAATAACCAGCCATTCCATTTGGGCCCTGGCCATATCTGTTTGCTTTATTTGTGACATATATTTGTTAAAGACAGAAAACAAACAAACAAAATTAACCTCAAACACCACAAGAACGTTTTCCCTGGGCTTTCAGCCATTGCCAAGAAACACAGGTGAGAAATAGAAAATGCTTCCAAATAGCATCCTATTAAAATAATAAAGATTAATCCGAGAGTTGGATCATTTGCCAACTACTTTGAATCATTAAAATATAGCACCGAGCCGAGTGCTTTTGATGAAAGGAAAATGACTCAGATATATTTCTTTGGTCTTTTTCAAAGAGAAGATAAATTTAATTTCTTGGTCGTAATTTCCTTGCTTGGTAGTCCTTTCCCAAGGTCAGAAATAGAAAAGCAGAAAACCGAACCTGAAGTTGATGATCAGTAAACACTGTTCATTTACTAGTAGAAGGGACAGAGATACAATCACAACCATGTGTCTTCCAATTCTGCTTTTCCTTAATTGACTGATACTCTGCATTTCAGGAAAAAAGAGTGCTAAAGAATCAAGGAGTGTGAATGAAAGGTGTAGGATAAAGCCATTTATCACAGAACATGTTATTAGTTATATGTAAGAAATTAATAACATCAAGGTTGTAACTTTAATTTTTATAAAACATTTATGAAGGCTTGAATTGAAAACATTTATATAGAGAAGTATCTTTAAGCATTAATTACCTGATCTTCATAATCAGACCCGGTATCAATGATCTCCCCAGTGTCCAACATCATGGATGGATCAAGGTCAATTGAACCTAAGATTGGGAAAGAAAAGATTAGCTAGTGGAGGCTGTTTGTGAATGTCTTGACAGCAAGAACTATCTTCCATGAGGTTTCCATCTTGTCCTTGTGATTACTTTAATGTCACAGACAATTCTAGACTTTCCCTCTGTCAGGCACTGTGTTTGAGCTGGAGGAAGAAATGCAAAGATACTTGGGCATGTTTTTTATCCTGGAAAAGAAGGCACTTTTATAGGGGAATATTGATTTGTCAGTAGCTACCTTCAGAAACTAACAAGAAAAAATGATGGAATCCGACCAGTAGCAGAGGTGATGGTGAAGTTGGGATTTTTCACAGAAGAATTCATCTGTGAGCCAGAATGATGGGAGTGAATGAGAATTGGCCCTGAGGCATGGAATAGAAACTGGGGCTGAAGAAACAGAATGGGTAATGAGAAAGGGATTTTCAGAAGTATGAAATGTTGAATTTTCCTACACCATGAAAACTTGCTTGAGATAATTTTCCTTAAGCCTTTGGATCACTCTAGTCCCTAAGGTAAGAAAAACCAGGGCACTGTAATGTATGGTGATAGAGAGATTTTTCCGTAGGTAGTACAGGTTATGTAAATTGCTTGCTCATTAATCCCTAAAGTCTAGATTTATATCAGCATTTTTCACAAAGGGGCTTCAGAAGCACAATTGATACATCACTCTCATTTAATGACTCTTTCCTGCTGGGAGATAAATGTCCCATGACAGGCCAGAAAGAATTCACTGATACCCGCAAAATGTCATGTTCTTACATGTGCAGAAACAAGTCACTCACATTTCAGTGTAAACTGACCTTGCTAAATGATTCCTCGTCAGAGTACGAAACGAGTAAGTGTAATGAAAGATGGGAAAAGTCATGCATCTCACACACTTCCCCGATCTGAACCTTCCCCACAGCTGCGGCTTTCATCAAGGCATATCCTCGTATAGTCTCGTCTACTCCTGCTGCTTCTCAAACTGCTTACGCACTGAGCACATTGACAAATCGACCAAGTACTAAGCAGTAGTAACAGAAAAGTTCATCATGTTTGTACTTTTAAAAAGAGTAGCTGATGCCAAGGGCTCAAGTAGAAATGTTGATGGCAACATATGTACAAGTGTGCTTAATACAACTGAATGATGGACAGTCATAAGATTTGTAAGAGCCCCCCAATAAAATGATTTAAAACAAAAAGAAAAAAGGTTTTATGGAATGCGAGCTTCAAAGTGGAGGTATTTGACCCTGTAAACCATTTTGGAAATGTAACCGATGCTATGGTTGTCAGGTATGATAATATAGTAGAGCGTAGCACTCATGCTTGGTAAGGTAGAGGTAAAAATGCGGAAGGCCCTGAACAAGATGGAGTAACACAGTGGCTGTAACAATGGGCTCAGAGATAAGAACAATGGTGGTGGTGGTGGTGGGGGGGGGTCCTGGCCAAACGGTGTTTTGTTCTATTGTCCAGAGGACTCCTATGAGTTGGAACAGCCTTGATGGCACCTAACAGCAACCCAACATATCTCTATGTCACATCCTCTGAGCAGTCCTGGCTAATTCCATTAAGGCAGCTGCTAGAATGGAATAAGGAAAACTGTGGACAAGACTATTAACAGAATGAGATTGTTGTTAGGTGCCTTTGTTTCTGACCCATAGAATGAGACTAGAAGGGGTGCTGTGGGGGATTTCAGACAGTTTCTTTCTGGTTTAGTCATGGTTGATAGTCATGGTTCAATGCTGGCTGACGAAATTGGAATGGGCCTGAATTTGTAAAATTCAGTGAGTATATTGGATTGGAAAAAAATATGGGCTGATGTCTTGCTAGAAATGTAATCTCCCCGTTAGAAAACAAGGACAGTGTTGTTGTGTAGCCACCAAATCTCTTAATCAGAGGAGTCCGAAACAATGACGCCCTACTCAAAGATGGTGGCATACTTCTGCTTGATATGAGCTGCTCTCCACAGCCCTGACAATCATCCCGTCTCCCACACCAGGCTTCTGAGAGTGCTCTCTGGGCTTCTTTTCATGCTTCCATTTCAGGGCTTTGATCTAGAAGTGTCCTGGTTTTGTTCTTCTTTGGGTACACTCACATTTCACAACTTTGAGTCTGTTCTGATTTCACTGAGTTAGCCGCGACAGAACTAGTTCAAACTGATTTGAAGCCCTGATGACACAGGAACTTTCATTTTTATGTATAATTTTAAAGTGGTGAAATTATATGTAATATTTTGATTTTGGCATTCTTCAAATAAGAACATCTATAAGTTGTCTCTTATGGCTAAAACACTTTACAGTATCAAAGTATAGTATAAATATCAATTTACATTTATGTATCTTAAGGTAGAAGCATTCCCTTGTATATTTTTCCATAAGAAAATCACAGGTGACAGAACACACAACATTCCTCTAGTTCAGTAATGCTTCCCTGTCCTCGCACTATTGTGGCCCCAGTTCTACCTTTCTAATATTCCTAGACCAGAGCATGTGCACTGGGACAGACAAGAGCTCTCAAAACATGGAATCCAGGACCGATAAACCCTCAGGAACAGTCTAATGGGAGTAGTGAGACCACGAGGGTAGGAAAAAGATGGGGGGTGGGGGGAGAAAGAGGAGACACAGGGAACCGACTACAATGGTTGACATATAACCATCCCCCCTCAGGGGAACAAACAACAGAAACGTGGGCGAAGGGAGACAGTGGATGGTGTTAGATATGAAAATAATAATTTATCATTTATCAGGGGTCCACAAAGGTGGGTGGCTGGAGGAGGGAGGGAAAACAGAGGAGCTGATACCAAGGACTCAAGCAGAAGGAAAATGTTTTGAAAATGATGATGGCAACACATGTACAACTGTATTTGATACAATTGATGTATAGACAGTTATAAGAGCTGTAAGGGCCCCCAGTATGATGGTTTATTAATAAAAAAGAAAAAGAAAATAAAACCACAGGCATTTTAGCATCAGCATTTCACAGAAGTCCCTGCCCCTCATTATAAAGAAAAAGAGGAGAGGCAGAGAAATTGGCCAAGGTCATTCAGAAAATGACTGGAAGAGAAGATAGATCTGGGAACTTCCATTTATTTTTCTAGCACACCCTGACCCTCCAAACTCTGAACGAAATTTGCCCAAATGGCTTTGTAAGTATTATTTTTGACATCCGCACTCTAAAGGAGAGGACTTGGAAGAGGGGGCTGTCTGTTTTACATTCTGAGAAAATGACAGCACTGAGAGGCTATGAGAAGGAGTGGCGGAAGAAAGGGAAGAATGGACAGCACTTTAGAGGCATTTAACTCTACCACTTGACAGCTCATGTTCCTTCCTAACTGGCTGCTATTTACAACATCAGGTAATGCCAATTTTATTTAGCTTTCAATAGTTCCACAATATGCATATTTTCTACAATGATTAGTGGAAGTGGTGATAGGCACTTGGATTCAAAGTATAGCCTCATTTCAGCTGTGTTTAGTGTGATTCGGGTGGAGGAGCAACATGATCTGAACAGAAAGGATGATTAAGCATATATCTGCTTCCAGTTCCTGTGTCCTACTTACTCTATCTAATTAGAAACTGTACTTTTGGTTGTTTTTAATAAGGACAATGTGAGGGCTCTTAAAAAGCCCAGTTACAGATGTTACACATTAATAATTGAAACCGGAGCAAGATTATTAGAAAACTATCTTCAGCAATGGGAGAATGAAAATATTTTTTTTTTAAAAAATCATTTTATTGGGGGTTTGTACAGCTCTTATCACAATCCATCCATCCATCCATCCATTGTGTCAAGCAGATTTGTACATTTGTTGCCACCATCATTTTCAAAACATTTTCTTTCTACTTGATCCCTTGGTATCAGCTCATTTTTCCCCTTCCCTCCGCCACCCTTCCTTGCTCATGAATCCTTGAAAATTTATAAATTATTATTATTTTTTCATGTCTTACACTGACCAATGTCTGAAAATATCTTTCAGAGAGAAGGAATAATCAAACCAACACACACATAAGCACACTAAAATGGATGCTTATAAGGAAGAAGCTATTGTTTTTTTTAATAAAATTCTTTGAACGGAAATTTTATTTTATCATTAAAGGATGAAATTTCTTGACACATGGTTGCTCTAGGCAACAGTATTTATGTAGCATCAGAAGCAATAGGCAAAGGGTATCATTATCAGTTCAGATAATGATTGAATAGCTTTAATTTTCTTTCAGCATTGGTTGCTTGGTTTGCTGAAAATGGGGCCTTTATTAATAGCATAAGGTTTGACATACCAAAATAGGGAAGTAAATATAGACATATGTGCAAAGTTCTGCTTTCTTTTGTTAGAGAGTTTAACGCAAAAAACAACTGCAATCAGTTTGCTACTAAAAGAGCAATAACAACAAAAAAATAAACCAAAGCACCAATTGGGGCATATTTTGAAAAAGTATGGTTTTTACTGTCCCCTTATTTTGAGTTTCTTAATTTATTTTCATATTTTAAAATACCTTTTCTATTGGTAATAGAGAAGAGATATCAAAAAGGTAGGAGCTAAAGTAAAGAACTGCACAGAGAGTTTTATGTTTGACAAGTTTCAGACACAGAACGGTCTTCGGCAATAGTTTCAGGTTTTCTTCTTCAAGGTCACTGAGATGACCCCGCTCGGCTCTAGGGGTGCCCAGAGCCTACCCACATTGCTTTTGTGGCTCGCTGACGTGCTTTTCCCTCCCGGGGTGTTTTTGATGTAGAGTTTTAAGAAACCCTTCCTTCTACTTTGAGTGCCAAATAAAGAAACAATGAGTGCTTGGATAGGAATGATGTTTATTTATAGACATTTTATCTGCCTTTCTTTTTCTTCTTGTTCTGTCTCTTCCACTCAACTGTAAGCTGCTTGATGTTGCTATATTTCATTTCTGAATCTAAGAGAAAAAACCCAGACGCAGTGCACATTCAACACACACATGCTCCCTGACTGAAAAGGGGTAAAAGAATATATTTTATCTTTGTATTTCTTGATCTCATTCACT